TTGCCAAGCGACGAAAACCCAACCCCGATGGCAAACACCGGGGGGGGTAAATCCTACAACACCGTGCACGTGCTAAGCACGATAGCGACGCTGCTTTTTCACGATAGAAGGATCAAGACGAAAGTCTGAGCAGCACACCTACTAAGGGATCTCTGAAGAAACCACGTTCTCCGACTCTCGTGCCGCCTAGAGTTGCACCGTTCCCGCTCAGCAACGTCCCTGGTTTTCGATGCACCGATACAGCCGCTCCCGCGCCAGCGTTCTTGCACTCGAAACAAACTTGGGACTCATCGCCATCGGCTCAACAGCGCGACTGCCCTCGCCCGAGCCGTTTTCTTTTACCACAACCGAATTCTTGTCCCGACCAACACCACCAACACTACAGAGACCACCACCACTGCCGGCGTCACCACCAGTGCCCTCCTCTCCCCCTTTTCCTGCCGGCGCTGCCTCGTTATCGTGGCGCGGGGTCATGTTGCCGCGCGGCACCCCCGTCACCGCTGATGCCGCCACGGGCGGTGTTGGCGTGGTCGAGGATTGTTGGTTCGCAGCAGCCGCGGCCGCCGCTGCCTTCGACGCCAAGCGCTCGGCGAGCAAGATGGTGTACATACCGCAGTCGAAGGCGTTTCTCTGCTGGGGCGCGTCACGGACGTGCTCCACCCGTGAGGGTTTGCCTTCTCCGACGCCTGTTCTCGGCAAAGGGGGCGAAGACTTAAGTACAACGAAAGGTAGTAAAGGCTTTGGCGGGTAAAAGGCCTAACGTTGGCGGAATGCTTCCTCATGCTCGTCTCCGCATCATGAATGTGAGTTCTGTACGCTAGCAACACTTCAGACCATCATACGGAATGGCCCTGCCTGCCCAAACGAGGCTCGACACTCAGCCAGCTCCTTTCTCGTCGGTTCTGGTTGCGCTTTTATCGTGTATTCGTCCTCACTTTTCTCGCCCAACATCTGCACGAACTTGGCCGCCGTCAGCTCCGCCGGCGTACGATTGCTCCCCTCGGACGAGTCGAAATGTCGAAATCTCCAGTGGCTTCTGCGTTCGTCGCCGCCCGCAACCTCCTTTTCGCAGACTAGGAGGCTCCTGCGGGCGACAGGGGCCACCAGTATGACAAGGCGAACGGCACGCATGTTGGCCAAGGCGTTCAAGTGAACCACAAGGCATGATTTTCCACGCGTGCAAGTTTTCGAACGAAGAGTTATTGCACCCGGTCGATTGAGCATTTCGATCGACGGGATGACCATTTTCAGTGAACCTCTTGGTGCCAATCGATAGACATAAAAAATAGATATTCGAATACGTGAACCGGATTTCGATGGTGGGGGTAATGAGTTAATGAAAGTTCGCGTCAACAATATTTCAATTTACCGGGGATTTTGCTGGGGACGAACAAGTCAACGTTTAACGCCTAAGTGAGCCAACGCACTACCGTAGCTCGACCAAAAAAGCAACCCCCACCATCGAACAACACCCCCGCACCCCCGAATGCCCTTCACTTATCCCAGTGCCGGGCCCGGTAAATCATCGTGTGGGGGTGAAGGCACCCTGTGTAGGCTGCCCAAGGTTGCAACAGGCTGCGTGGGCAAAAGGCGTCGAGCTGCGATTGGAGAGTGGAATTCTTCAACATTGTCGCCCTGTACGTACAGACTACTACACACCAAGGGGAAAAGGTGTGAGTAGTGAGGGATCACTCGCTGTGTACGCATTCAGCTTGGCCCAAGTTTCAGCAGTGTGGATCACCGGCTTCCAGCCTACATACACTTGGACGGAGGATGCCCGCCTGTCCCAAACCCTCTCCAACTGGTGCGTTTCCCCTTGGAGGGTAGTTTTCGGACTGGTGCTTCTCCAGGCGCTAGATTTGTCGCTGCAAACATCCAGCACAGGTTCTGGCAAATACTGCGCAATAAATGTGACTGTTAAGAGGATTTCCTCTTTCACTCCCACCAGTGACTGCCGCGCGAAAAGGGACCCGCTGCGTTGTTGACAGGCACGAATACCATGCTCCGGGTCGCCAGCTCGAGACCTCTGCCAAGGTCCTCGTATTCCTCTAGATCTGAAAAAGACGTCGGTGCCGTGTGCAACCCACACACGAACATCAACAGCCGTCCAAGTTGTTCGCCGATACGTGTAGTTTCAACGACGCGCGGAAGGTCGCGCAAAGCAAAATTTCAGCGTCACGCGTGTGCATTCCATCCACATACTGTAGCGATACTTGTACGAGACGGCCGCAGGACAGTCCGGTAGCATGTGGAAACAAACGGTCATGGTACAGGTCCACAGACCCCCTCCTCCTGCGCTAGTTCCTGCCTACAGCTGATGTGTATCGGAATGGACGTGCTCCGAAATATCGGGAAAAAACGAGGAATCCCTCATGTACATCAGACGACAGCCAGAGGTTTGCAACCGATCCTTCGTCGAGAGCTTTCCCGAAGAGTAGGGGGGCTCTGCTGCACGTAAGCAAGCCCTGCTGTCAGGCCCCGCAGTCCACCTCGAGGTACCCAGGACTCAGGGCGGGATAGGCGGGACCCTTTTCTCCTCTGCCCGATTTGCGGATGCCGAGGAGGGTACACCGAAGGTGCCATTCACATATGCGTCATTGGAAGAGATGGTCAGATTTTCTATGCGTGAATCCTATTCAAAAGCCCCCTCCTGCTTTTAGCAGCCGCTATTCTCGAGGAGCCAATGGGGCGGTCCGAAAAATGGAAAGAGAAACTCTCACCCCCCCCCTTACAACGGATTGAAAACGGTTTTTCACGGCAGCGTCTACATGTTCGAGGTTCTCTCTCACCGTCGCACTGGTTCATCATGCACGACACCACCGCGGGGTCCATGAAAAGGAGATCCGTCTTCCCCGGGAACACCTCATGCTCCAACACCCTGTTGACCAGCGGTGTTCACGGTGTCGTTGGGCCGACGAAACAATCAGGCACGAACGTGATAGGTAGGAACAGTTACAGCGGGTGGGTGCCTCGATTTTGGAATTCGAAGGGAATACAGAAGATGAAGGGAGTGGTTTGCGCCGGCGAAGGAAACTGCTTCCTGGAAGTTAGCTCTGTCGTGCAGGCATACGCGGCCTCTACTCAGGGCGGGTCTAGCCGATTAGACCTCTGTACACAAAATACACAAAATGTCTGTAAGTCTGTGGCATGCTCACAATCAAAACTATTTGCTGTTTCACTGATCGTCCCGCTAATCAACTCGTTCATGAAGAACAGGGATGGGCCCTGAACGCTGGAGAAGAAGAAAGCGTCCACAACGGATTCGAACTTGCTTCCGTTCGTGCGGATGAGCCACAGTAAGAGGCTAGCATGTCCACGTGCATGGGCGGTGCACGTGTCACAGAAAACATACAAGCGAGACAGTATTTCTGTAGAAACGCATGGTTGGCACAAATGGTGGTGTGCAAATTTACCTGAAAAACCAATTGATGCAGTTGTCGTTGAGCCACTCGCCTTCGCCGAAGAGTGCCACATCGGTGTCGTACACCACGGCGTCGTGGTAGTTAAGAACTTGCGTCATTGTCTCGCCCTTGTCGCTGGCTCCGGCTGGCCTGCCCGCGACAGGATGCAGTTTCATTGGCCTTTGACTCTCCTAGTACCCAGTCCCTCAGCCAAAAAAAATGCCGCAAAAATGTTTTGTCAGCCATTGGTCGAGAGGGGCTACAGTCCCTCCAAAGAATCTGAGCTCCTTGCCAGACAAAGGGTGACTTGGCTTCAGTATGAAAAGCGTCCCAAAAACACGTAGGGACCCTTTTTATACTGAAGCCAAGTCAGCAAATATTTCCAGTACGAGGCGATGTACAGCTTTGCGAACTGGGGGGCACGCGGCTTGGGAGATGTGTACAGCACGTCAGAGGTCCAGGAGAGGCATCACACAGCATATCAAACAGTGTATCACCCCAGCCAAGCATGAAAGACCAAGGGTTCTTACGTACGTTGCATACAGCGGAGCCTAGGTTGACTACAGTGCGGTAAACAGGCCGTTCAATGCTGTGTCCCAAAGTGTCCCCAAATCGTCCCCAAAAAGGCTTCCAGTAGAAGGAGGGTTAAATGACTGCCGTAACCGACGTCTTGCAGATGTACGGCTCTTTAAATTACTTCGTGAGGAGATTGTGACCCACTCTTCTTTGTCGTGCAGACCTCGGGAAAGTCGACTGGGATGAGAGCAGCGAAGATGTGCGAGTTTTGCTTGCCACGTCAACATGCACCCTCTATGGAGCATTTATTTGTGGTCCTTCTTGGTGGGTTGATTAGGTCAGCTATGCATACATGACTGTACTGCGCGCAGAGCACAGCGTTGGATGATGCACCTTTCCCCTGGGGGCGCCAATCCTCCTGGATTCCTCAGCAAGGACAGGATGCAACCATAGTTTGCTAACTTTGCCGGGCGCTCTTCGGGACATTTTGCACGTGTGGATGCCACGTGCGAAGGAGTATCTATTGGCAAGCATACTCCCCATTATGCGGAATGAGGAGCAAACACAGCACAGAAGATGCCGAAGGCGATGCATATACATACAACGCCGCAGAAATATCGCTTGACATGCTTTGGGTTTATGGCGGTCTATTTCCAAGGAAGAACTTGAGCAAGCTCTAGCATATATGTGCACAACGGTTCTTGGTATGTAGACCTATGCTATTGTACAGAGCCCGCGCTTCTCGTTGTTCAGAAGGGGCCTTCCGGCCGCAAAAAGCGACTCTTCGCGATACATTCTGTGAGGATTGCGCCACATGAAACACACAAAAATATGTTGCCCTTGGTTGCTCCCGCGGTCGGTTCGTTGAGTTGGCATTGGTCATTGCACCACCACAATAGTGGAAGCTAACCAGAGGCGACCACCTGCCACCCTGAGGGGCAATTTCCCCGCTCGATCGTTCCACAACAGCAGTAGGATCGTCACAGATCTCTGCATTGTGCCGGGTTGCTGCTGCTGTGTTGTGTGTTGCCGCCGATGCCTGGAAATTGCACATTCGTTTGAAAGTGTCAACCTGAAGCTACAAAAGCAAACCATCTCTGACTCCGTGCGTCATGAGCGTGAGAGTGTGGCATCCCTCAACTTTGCGCCTGACGCTGCTGCAGCACTGCTGCTGTGGGATGCATGTGTACACTGCTGCTGCCGCTTAGTATGTAGCACCCAAGCAAGACGCGCCGTCTCAGGAGAATATATGGCAAATGTACGATGAAAACCCCGACATGTAGGGCTCACTCTCTCTGATCACATACCACGACGCCCACCTGTTCGTGTAAGCCAACCCTCACACTTGCGCCGACACCCACACAACCCAACGCGGTGTGACCGTGCCTGCAGCTGTGTGCGATGTCTGATCAAAGACACCGGAGGCACGCAGACACATTTCAGTGGGGGGGGGGTTGATTTTATCGAGTCTTCATCGCGAACCCCCTGTCACGTTTGGATTGATTGATTACCGCGTCGAACTCTAGATTTGATTCTGTTGACACCCATACAGCACTGCCGCGCGGTGTGCGATTGGGCCTTTTTCCGTTGGTCGTCTGCGTGGTCATCCCTTCAAAATAGTCATGAGTTATTCGGCGCCCTTCCGCACAACAAAACCCACCTACCTGTTGTTCTCAAGGCAGCCTGCTGTAGTCATCCTTCAAAATACGTATCTTTTGAAGGGATCATTCCGTCGAGGGGGGGTCACGGAGGCCAGAGGCGAGGTGAGGTATACACGCAACACTTTGCGCACCAACAAGAACACAGCCCGGATGCAGACTCAAGTACTTTGTACACAGCAGTATTTGGTCGTTCGCATCATCGATCGCCATACATTGTCATGGAACATCATCAACGCTAAGATTCATTCATCATCATCGTTCATTCTGCGACCCCACGAAAACACCGTGTAGACTAGTCTAGTCTACAAAAACAAGAAACTTTGGAACTGTTCATGATGATAAGTCTCTTTACGTACAGTAGTTTTGTCGTCTTCAAAGACAGACTACACAACCACTAAACAGTGGACTAGACTATGGTCTACTTGTTGAGAAATTGAAATTTTTAATGAGAAAAAATTTGGGCAGGTTGGCGCGCACCAAAAGTAGTGCCAAATAATTTATTTTCGCTCCAACGGAAAACATCCTCGGGCGTCCTGCAAATCGAACACCGGCCTTTTCGCCGGTGCTTTCACCATTGGCAACGCCGAAAGTCACGATAGTTCCGCCGCCAAGGACCCCAAACCGCATCTGGTTCAACCCCCCCCCCCCCCCCCCCCCCCCCCCCCCCCCCCCCCCCCCCCCCCCCCCCCCCCCCCCCCCCCCCCCCCCCCCCCCCCCCCCCCCCCCCCCCCC